GGTATCTGCTGCGGTCCAAGAGCACTCTGGGTGCCAAGTAGCACTGCTGGACGATGTTGCCTTTCTAGAGGACGATGAGGTTTATCAGATTATCTTATAGGAAAACTATTTTTTGCCCTACTTCACCCATGCAGTTGTTTTTTCGTTATGGTGGTAAGACATTTCTAGGTCCAGTTCAGAGAGAAGCCAGCGTCCTTTCAGATTAAAAAAAAAAAGAGAGAGAATGAGAAAAAAAATCCTCCGGTCCTCTCTGGTCCGTGGGTCTGAAGGAATTGTCTGTCGTCCCTGTGAATACACTGCAAGGCCTCCCCAGGCAGTTGGACACACCTAGAATCCCCAGCTAGGAGGGTTGTGAACGTGGGGTATGAGGACCATCACCTGCCAAGAGAAATCTGAGCTCTGCTCATAGAAACTGTCTGAGAGTCTTCTCCTCTCTGCCTGCCCCATTTTCTCCCTCAGGCTGCATCTGGTTGTGGGGTCAGCCTCTTACCCATGCTCTGTATTTCTCCTGGGGAGTCCTAAACAGAGCCTCCCTGTAGTACTTCCAAATGAATGTATCTCACTGTCTGCAGCAGCAGTACAGATCATTTGTCACTTTCTTGAAGCAGAAAGCCAAATGCAGAGAAAAGAAAGACTTAAAATAAGGATTTTACTGAAAAACCTGATAGGGGTTTGTAATTTCATGTTCCTGACAGGAGAGAGAGCTCAGGTGGAGCAGCTGGAGCCACACGCTGAGCACTGGGACCCCGGGAGCTTTTCTCCCAGTCCATGTCTTTTCCAAACCAGCAGGGTTTCCTGTTCTTCCCTATAGTATTGCAGAAAGGGAAACACGGCTCAGGGAGTTTCTGGAAGGACGTCCTCCCAGCTGCCACGTCCCTTGCTCAGTTGAGAGCAGTCTCAGCACAGCCAAGGCCTGTCCTTGCATGTCCCAGAGGAGCATCCTGAGAGATCTGGGCATTGCTGTGCTCTCCAGGCAGCTGATGGGACGGGAGCCCAACTGTCCCAAGGGCTGCCCTGCCCCTGCTCCAGCTTCCTGGCTTCAGCTCACACCACTAAGAAAGCTCAGGTGAGTGATGCACTAAAAAGTTCCAGGCACGAGGCTGCCTGGAGCAGAGCTGGCTCAGAGCCTGGGCTTGGTGCAGCGTGTGTTCTCTGCCCAGATGTGGCAGGCTGAGTGTTTCTAACCCTCTTCCATGGATTAATTTCATGGATTATTTCCAGTAACGTAGCTCAAAAAGTACCCTTCCAGCTCAGTCCGTGGCAGCTGCCTTGCAGAGTATTCACAGGGACCCTCGTGGGGACCTTTGTCTGGGACAGGGGCTGTGACTTCACCTGTCCTGCCCCCGTGTGCCAGGTGGCAGGGCTGTTCTTGGGATGAGCACAGTGCAGGGGCAAACTTCCCTATGGATCCTCTGAAGGGAGGGCAGCCAGTGCACATAAACAGCCAGATCTGATCTAAGACAACTGCATTGCCCAATTTCCTCTATCTGAAAATGGTTGAATTTCCTCCCTCCATCTTAAACAGTCAAAAAGAAAACAGGAACTGGTTTTCTTTTTCACTGCAAGGACCATGGCAGGCTTTTTTTCCTTAATTGAACTGGATTTAGAAAGAAACAAAAAACCAGGAAAAAAAAAAAAGAAAAAAGAAATCTTATATTTTATTGGGTAAAATTTATATATTTTAAATACTATATTTCAACAGATCGACACTTTTGTTTTGAGAAACCTTATAGCAATGATTCCATAATATATATCTCTATCTCTGTATCTCCTTGCCACACAAACTACTGGATGGTTCAGGTTGGACCTGGGGCTGGTGAGCCCTGGCCTGCTCTGCCTTCCTGGCACTCCGGGCCCTCTCCTGCGCCGCAGCCTCGGCAGCTGCTGCTTGAAGCAGGCGCTTTGGACCCAAACCAAAGCCTGCTCCTCTGTCCAGCTGTCAATTAGAAGGAAATTAAGGAATTAGAGCCTTGGCTGGACCCAGAAGAACAGCACAGAGAGAAGTAGTGATGGCCTGGATCTGCCCTCGGAGCTGAGGAGGGAAAGCCGCAGCTTTAACTCGGAATCCGTGCTGGTTTTCCCAACATTTTGAGCTGCAGTATGCACTTCCCAGGTGCATTTAGATTTAGAATTGTTTTTACAGGCCCCCTTTTCTGTGGCTCATCCCTGGAGCCCCAAACACACTTCCCTAAACAGTTTCCTTTTTTCTCGTGGTGTTTGTGGGGGTTCAGCTGGGGCTGGGCCGCTTACACCACAAAAAAAATCAATTTACACGCTGAATGTATCTTTTCTTTCCCCTCTTAAAACAGATTTCACAGCCCAATGCACTATGCCAGTGTCTTAAATACCTTCTTTTGAAAAGATTTTTAAAATGTTTAGGGGTTTGTGCGTTAATTTCCTGATCCCAAATCCAAGCCGGGCAGAAGTGTAGGAGACAGTGCTTGGCTGGAGCTTGTTCCCAGCCAAAAAAAGCTTCATGGGACCCCCTGGCTGCCTCCAAAACAGAGATCCCAACTCCCCAGGCATCACGCACAGGCCATGGCATCTGCGTTCAAGGAGACCTTTGGATGTGCAGTCGCAATCGTGTCGTGGAAGGGTTGCAGCAATGCAAAGCCGGGATGAATGTTTTATTAATTTAACACTCTCCAAGTTTGTGTAAGCTTGCAAAAAAACAACAAAAATTGTAAATAATTACACTCAAAAGAGCAGGAGCACCCAGCCTCTCCCCTGTAAAGGTCAGGAATGACACCACCTTTGCCAGAAATCATGCCAGCTGAGAAGGAAAATACCTCCTGCTGAACGGTGGATGCAGCACGAGATTAAACCAAGTATTTATTCACACTTCTCTGAAAGTCCTTTGTAAGCCTCAGCTGCCTTCCCTCCGGGATGAAGGCATTCCTTGCTGGCTGTGGGACAGCGCAGGCGTGGGAGCGTCCTCCCGAAATGTCTCATCTGGAGGGGCTGGGGTTGGTTCCCTGACAGAAGGACTGTGTCTGCCAAAGATGCCACCGACTCCCAGAAAGTTGCTTTCCGACCCTCTGGAGCCCTCTGCCCGGGAAAAGCCGTACAGGAAGGTCCGTGTTCGGAGTCAGCGATGGGATAAATGAAGGAAAAGTGCCAAAAGGGATCATGCCAGGTGATTGTATGACGTTGTTTATATTGTCAGTATTTCTCTTCCAATGCTATTGTACATGCAGTGCACAGTAGTCATGAAGTGTAGCTTGAACAAGCGCTTCTTTGTATTTTCTCAGTGGAAGCAGAGGGGGAGATCGAAGCCTTAAAGACTCTCACAGATTTTAGAAAACAAGCCTTTAGCAGTGCTGCGAGGGCAGGGCTCCTGGCCCTGGGGCAGGACAGCCCTGTCCTGTGTCCCAGCCGTCCGGCGGCAGGCCGGCAAGGAGCTCGTCCCGCGCCCGAGGGGAGCCTGGCTGGACGCGAGACGGAGCCCACCCGTGTCCGTGGTGGAGCCCCTGGGACGTCAGCAGCGCGGAGCCGGGCCGATCCCCGCGTGTGCGCCCCGCCAGCACGGCCACGCTGCCGGCCCGCCGCTCACTATGCAAACGGGGCCTGCGGGAGCGCCCGGCGCCGCCGCGCTTCCCTCAGCAACGCTTGGGCCGCAGGTGTGAACGCGGGCACCTCTCGTGTTGTGGCTTCTGCTGTTCGAAACAGAGTAAACCCTGCTTGTGAAACGCCCGTCACGAACCACAAATACGCCGACAAATGTGTACAAATAACAGTGTTTGTTTTAACAGCAGCCGGGACTTGAACTGCAGGGCAAAGGCCGAGGTTCAAACAGAATAAAACCAGATTCTGACGGTGAAACTCCCTGCTTCTTGCCGTGCTTGGAAACGAGCAGGATCCTGCTGCTGCTTGTCCCAGACGGGTGACACCGGCCTCCATCCGAAGGAGGTTGTGGAGTAGTTGCGGAGTCACAAAATCATTTGGTTGGAAAAGCTGGGAGACCCAAGTTCCCCTTCCTCCGGGCACAAACCCGTTTTAATCCGAGGCTGATCTCCCAGCAGCTGGGTTTGGGCTGGGGTCCCTCCGGCTGTAGGTGCCGGGGAGCCCAGCAGGGTCTGTGTGGCACGCTGGCGGAGCTGAGCCGTGCTTTCCCTGTGGGCCGGGAGAGGCCGGTGCCGCTCGCCCCTCCTGTCCGGCCCCTGCCATCTGCAGCAGGACGTGCTCCAGCTGTGCTTTCTCCACTTCCAGCTCCGCTGGCACCTCCGAGTGCCCGGCAGCGGCCGCTCCGGGACCGGTGCCTGCCGCGCTCCCACCCCCTGCCCTCACAAACACTGGGACAGCGCGTGGCTTCCTCCGGGAATGGCTTGGCACAGCCAGGGCAACGAGCCAGAGCCGATTCCCACCAAAAGGAACAGAGGCACAGAGAGGCTCGAGCAAAGGCAGGTGGAGATGGAAACCCATCCTTGGCTCTCACTGCAGGGAGATGCATCTGCCCGGAGACCGGACTGGGGCTGGGGCTGGTTCTTTTAAGGTAAAACTGATACCCTGCCTCAAAGCAGCTAAACTGGATCAGCCCCAGTGGCCATCGAGCTTAGCAGCGCGTCTCTGTGATGGAAAACAGGGTTCCTTCTTGTGGCAGCTGTACCTGAGGGGTCTGATTAAGGAGGAATAAGCAGCATCCTCCTCACGTGGCTCAGCCACACCACAGGGCTGCTGTACCGTGTTGGAGAGCGTGGAACCATGGAATAGTTAGGGCTGGAAAAGGCCTCCAAGGTCAGAGTCCCCCAGCGCTGCAAGGGTACCCCTATCCCATGTCCCCAAGTGCCACATCCACACGGCTTTAAATCCCTCCAGGCGTGGGGACTCCACCACTGCCCTGGGCAGCTGTGCCAGGGCTGGACAGCCCTCTTGGGGTCGGACGGGGCTTGGAGCAGCCTGATCCATTGGAAGGTTCCCCTGCCCATGGCAGGGGGTAGGACTGGATGGGTTTTAAGGCCGCTCCCAACCCAAATCCTGCAATTCCATGATGCGAGCACCTTCCGCGCGTCACGGGGATGGCGGCGGGACGGACTGCATTTCCCAGCGTGCCGCGCGGCGCGAGGGGCCCGGACTTCCTGCCACGCGACCAATCAGGAGCGCCCAGGTGTCGCGGGCGGGGCGGGGGCGGAGGCGGCGAGAAGATGGCGGCCAAGAGCGGCCGGAACGGGCTCCTGGACAAGGTACGGCGGGCGGGGCTCCTCGGCCGCCCGAGCGGCCCCCGCCCCGGCCGGGGCCCCGGGCAGCGCCCCGCCAGCCCCGCGCCTTCCCCCGCCGCCCACGGGCTTCCACCTTTCACTCCTGGGTGTCCCTCCCTCAGCCCTGGGCATCCCCTCATGACTGGGCATCCCCCTCAAGCCTGAGCATCCCCATCCCTGAGAATCCCCCCTCATTCCTGAGCATCCCCATCCCTGAGAATCCCCCCTCAGCCCTGCGCATCCTCATCCCTGGGAATCCCCCTCATGACTGAGCATCCCCTCTCATCCCTGAGCATCCCCCTCAAGCCTGAGAATTCCCCCTCAGCCCTGAGCATCCTCATCCCTGAACATCCCGATCCCTGAGAATCTGCCCTCAGCCCTGAGCATCCCCATCCGTGAGAATTCCCCCTCATCCCTGAGCATCCCCCTCATGCCTGGGCATCCCTCTGCCCTGGGCATCCCCATCCCTGAGAATTCTCCCCCACCATCCTCCCTGCAGCCCTGGTCGTCCCCCTCCAGCTGCTGTAGATGCTCGTATAAGCAAAAATAAATAGTGGAAAGAATTCGACCCTATTCTCTTACGGAAAGGCTGTGGCTTCCAGTTAACGTGTGTGCTAATTAACCCTGGAAGAAAATGCTTCAGAAGCAGCCCCCTGAAATGTTTGGTACCATACACCCACGTGCGAGCTCTGTCCCAGTTCTCAGTGATTTTTAGATCCTTCTGGCCGTTGCTTTTGTGCCTCATAAGCCCATGGACACGCAGTGACATTCACTGTGTGCCTCAGAATTCCCACATGCCAGGCCTGGGGAATAACTGGGCTTTTCCCTGTGCGGCTGCAGGGCAAGCAGATGGAGTTTGACATGGTATTTTAAAGTGGTTTTACTCCTTCAGAGGAGGAAAGGGAGCTCTTTGGGCTGGTGGTTAATCCATCCAGCTGGGGAGCTTCCGGGGCAGGAAAATGACACGAGTGAAACTGAGGATTGCTCTGCTGGCAGCTGGGATTCCAGCCCCAGTCTCTGACCTGTTTGAAATAAGGGATGAGTTGGGACACTCAGGGCTCGGGCTGATGTGTCACCAGACAGTGATGTAGTTCAGGGGAAGGTGGGCCCCTTGGAACAGCTGGGAATTGTGACTGGGGAGGGACCCATTCCTGCAGAAGCTTTGAATGTGAAGAGTACAGAGTCCTTTGCTTTTGTTCCAGAGAATGGTTTTAACTGAAATTCCTTGTTTGTGCCTTTTAAATCTCCCCTTGTTCCAAGATTGTTGGGGGTTCTCAAAATTTTCCTCCGTCCCCCAAGAGTCCGTGTGGAGCAGTGTCTGGAAGGCAGGAGCATATCCAGAGGCAGGAATCCAGCCCAGCTGTCCCTTCCTGGGGATGGCAGCAGGAGCAGCAAATGAGGAGGCAAAACTAAACCTGCTCCAGAGGCACATCCAGCCTGTGACAAGGTGCACAGCCTGAAACCCACCAGGAACTGCTCAGGCAGCTTTGGGTGCAGATTCCCTCTGTCCAGCCAGGTTTTCCCAAACAGCTTTGCTCTCTGGTTTGCCTCCTGTCGCTGGGATGGAATTCCCCTCACTCCACGCTTTCCATTGCAGTGGAAGATTGATGACAAGCCAGTAAAAATCGACAAATGGGACGGTTCAGCTGTGAAAAATTCCTTGGACGACTCTGCCAAAAAGGTGGGTTCTCTCTCTGCTGAGCTGCCCTGCTGGAAGCTCTCTGATTTTCCTTCCTGCTTTTTGGGGTTGGCTGCCATGGCATCCCTTGTGATTCCCACGTGCCTGTGCTGCCTGATGCAGACATTCATTCCCCACAAACCTTCTGCCCAGTTTAGCTGTGCCCCTGGGGCTGCTCCCTTCAAACCCTTCCCACAAGCAGCGTGTCAAATCCCTGAAAAGCTCTCCCTGGACTCGGCTGCCTGTTTCTCCCACAGGTGCTCCTGGAGAAGTACAAATACGTGGAGAACTTCCGTCTGATCGACGGGCGCCTCATCATCTGCACAATCTCCTGTCTCTTTGCCATCGTGGCTTTGATTTGGGATTACCTGCACCCTTTTCCTGAATCCAAACCGGTCCTTGCCTTTTGTGTTGTCTCATATCCTTCACAGGTCCTGTCGTGGTTATACCACAGGGGTGTGATTTTCCACAGGAACAAAACCCTTCTGGATGTTCCCGTTTTCAGGCCTGCGGGAATTACACTTCCTGCCGTGTGGAGATCAGCTGACAATCAGACAGTTTTCGTGTGACAGGAAAGTTCCTGGGTGTAATGCCCCTAAATTTGGGTGGTCTGAGGCAGATCCTTTTTTTTTTTCATTCTATCCACAGTCTGGCTCCAGACACGCTTGCTTTTCCCTAATACCACAGGTCAGATGCTGAGAGGGCAAAGAGGAAACTCTGCAGAGGGATCTGGACAGGCTGGATCCACTCCACAGCCCACTGCTGAGGCTCAGCAGTGCAAAGGAGTGCTGGTGGCCTTGGCTGGGGGAATGGTTGGACTCAATGGTCTTGGAGATGTTTTCCAACCTAAACAATTCTGTGATCCTAAGGAATTTCATTGTTCCTGGCTCTTCTGGGTGGCTTTCAGAACAAATGGGTGACTTGTCTTGCAGCACTTGAAATTACTTAATTCCAAAATTGGGAAAGAGGAATTGCTTGGTCTGTCCTTGGAGGAATGTCCAGCAACTCCTTCTGTGGCTTGTTCACTCTCAAGTTTCCCAGCAGATGTCAGAGAATCCCAGAGTGGTTTGGGTTGGGAAGGGCCTTAAAGCTCATCCATTCCCCCCCTGCCATGGGCAGGGACACTTCCACTAAACCAGGTTGCTCCACCCTGGCCTCGGGCACTTCCAGGGAGTGAATAATAAATTACTAAAGTTTAATTTTATTAGTTAATTTCCCTTGCTGATGAAGCATCAGCCAAACATGCTGTTTGCAGTCAAGGTGTCACTTGAGAGGTGGCTAAACCACAGCTCTGAGGGGATCCGAGCGACTCCTCTGCCTGATTTCTGCTTCTCCTTGCACCTTCCTAACGTCCTTAACTTCCCGCGCACGTATTTTGTGATGATGGGAATCCTGACCATCTACACCTCCTACAAAGAGAAGAGCATTTTCCTGGTGGCGCACAGGAAGGACCCGGCCGGGATGGATCCCGACGACGTCTGGCAGCTCTCCTCCAGCCTCAAACGGTACGCCTGCTCCGCCAGCCGGGCTCGGCCCTCCCTCGCCAGAGCCCCCCTGAACACTGCCTGCTCTTCTGAATCCACTGCTCCACCAAAAGCCTTCTCCTGGCCCAGCAGTGGCAGCGGCCCCAAGTGGTGTTCTGCCCCCCGTGTTCGTGTTTCGCTTCTCTTTAGTGCGGGGTGTAGAGGCCTCGAAGTGTGTTAATTGTGAGTGCCCAGCTGGGGCCTCAGCCCAGGGGGTTTTCCCCTCACACAGGAGGGGGTTTCTGTCCCTGCTCTGAGGGATTTTTCCCTCTCAGGCAGGAGCCTGGGGGTTTTTTCCCCTCACATGGTGGGGGTTTCTGTCCCACTGGGACCCTGCTCTGAGGGATTTCCCCTCAGACAGGAGCGGGTTTCTGTCCCACTGGGACCCTGCTCTGAGGGATTTCCCCTCACACAGGAGGGGGTTTCTGTCCCTCTGGGGGTTTTTTCCCCTCACATGGTGGGGGTTTCTGTCCCTCTGGGACCCTGCTCTGAGGGATTTCCCCAAACAGGAGGGTGTTTCTGTCCCATTGGGACCCTGCTCTGAGGGATTTCCCCTCACACAGCGGGTTTCTGTCCCATTGGGACCCTGCTCTGAGGGATTTCCCCTCACACAGCGGGTTTCTGTCCCTCTGGGACCCTGCTCTGAGGTGTGTCTGCCCTCCCGCAGGTTTGATGACAAGTACACCCTGAAGCTGACGTTCATCAGTGGGAAAACCAAGCAGCAGAGGGAAGCCGAGTTCACCAAATCCATCGCCAAGTTCTTCGACAACAACGGGACGTTAGTCATGGAGGCCTACGAGCCAGAGGTGTCCAAGCTGCACGACAGCCTGGCCCTGGAGAGGAAAACAAAATGATTTTGGAGCCCAGCCGCCTCCCAACAGCTTGCTAAATTAACACCAATAAAGTCAAATGGCAACGAAAGTGAATCATGGCCTCTGTTTTTGTCCTGAAGTCCTATTCCTTTTTGGATAAGCAGGATTTTAATACTGGACCCAAGATTTGTTGAAGGTCATGGCTAAGCTTGGTCTCTGTGCCTGCCTTCCAGGCTCAAAATTGGATTTTGGGGACCCTCAGGAGGGGAAACACACCACCAGTGCTGCCCCAGCATCCCTGCTTTACCTGGCAGTGCTTTATCACATGGCTCTGTGTCCAGGGGGCTTTTCCAATCCCACCTTTCCATTTCTGCTAGGAGTTCAGGACAAAACCCTTCTGTGAAACAACCATCCCCTTGCAAACAAGTTTGCTTTATTTTTGTATTTATCTAAGTGGGGTAGAGGATTGTTTTATATAAAAACCTTTTATGCTACTTCTGTGTGCTCAGCCACGAAGCTTCTCAGAAAGTGTAAAAGATTTTCCAAGCTGTGTGTGTCTGTCCTGCGGTTCCCTTCTGGCATCTCTCGTTCCATGTGTCCCTTCTGTAAACTGGCATTTTTTTAAAGAGATAATTTTTTTGGTTGTTTTTTTCAATAAAAGGGAAGAACAGACCTCAAACGTGTCCTGGAGCATCTCTGGGGTGTTCCACGCCTGGGGAGGGAATCCCAGTTCACAAAAGGAGAATCCTGGCATTCCCGTGGCACCACCACAGTCTTGTCACCTAAACCTCGTCCCCAGGTGCCACGGGATGAGGATGACTCCTCTTTTTATCTTGCAGAGCTGGTTGGGCTTGGCTGCCTCACCGCAGGGAGCCCCAGACGGACCTTCCTGGTTTTCCAGCCCTCCCTCGCCACGGCCGTCCCACAAGGGCGCCCGGCAGTGGACTCTCCTGGCATCCCAAGCAGGGTCCTGCCTCCATCCCTCTCCGGGCTCCCCTCCCGCCTGCTGGGGAGAGCAGCGGCTCCACCGGTCAGTCTCCTCCCGGAATTCCAGCATTCCACCGGCCCCGCAGGAGCGCCGGAGGCGGAGCACATCGCCGGCTCACACCTGCACAGGTACTGCCCCCGCTGCCCGCCGGCGCCGGGCTCCGGGATCCCGACAGCGGGATCCCCGCCCGCCGAGCGCCTGATCCGGCCCCCCCGGCTCCGGGAGCTGCAGGAAGAGGCGGAGCGGGGCGGCCCCGGCGCGGCGGCGGCGGGAGGAGCGGGGTCTGCGGGGATGCGGGATGCGGGGCTGCGGGACCGGGAGTGCGGGGGGCCGCGGCACGGAGGGGACGGGGGGGTCGGCGCTTGGGGGTGCAGGGGGATTGGGACTGGGGCTGGGGGGGTCACCGGGGTGAAGGGGCTGCGGGGGTGTCGGGGTACACGGGGAGAATCTGGGTACTGCAGGCGGACGGGGGCGATCGGTGCCTGCGGGGCCGAAGGGGGGCCAGGACATGTGAGGGGGGAGGCACGGAGGGGGGGTCTGTCACTGGGGGTCCGTGCGTGGTGCAGGGGGTTTGTGCTGTGCGCCAGCGTAGGGACGTGGGGGATCCCGGCGGGGATCCAGGCTGGAGGGTGCGGGGGGGACTGGGGGTGCACGGGAATGGAGTGGAGCAGGGGCACAGGAACCCCGGGCTAGTGCCACTCGGGGAGCTAAGGCGGTGGGAGCTCCGGGATCCCGGTGCCGTGCAGGAGGTGCACAGCCCTCGGGAACAGCGGGAGCTGGCACCCTGGGTGAAGCAGGGGACTCTGTGCGCTACAGGGGAGCAGCACAGACGGGCAGGGGGCGGGTGTGACCCCAGCGAGGGGCTCTGCTCTCACCCCACTCTCCCACCCTGCTCAGGTCCCAGGGGGAACCTCAGGGCTGTCACCATGTCCCAGGCCACCACCTGCCTCAAGGTGAGCCTTCATCCCTGTCCCCCCCGTACGGGCCACCCCCTCTTTTGCCAGGATTTAACCCTTTTACATCTGACTTTCCCACCCTTCCAGCAGCAGGAGGATGGCGGGGAGAGCCCCCCACCGCTGCCATCACCACCAGGATCCCCGCACGTTTTCCCTCCGGAGACGCTGTTCCAACAGGCAGGTGGGGTCACCTATCGCATCCCGGCTCTGCTCTACGTCCCCCCCGATGATTCCTTCCTGGCCTTCGCCGAAAAGCGCTCCTCGGCCCGGGACGAGGATGCCAAGTACCTGGTGCTGCGGCGGGGCCGCCGGCACGGCTCCTCGGTCAAGGTAAAATCCCCCCGGGCTATAACAAGAGACGGGCGCGGTGCCGGCTGGCTCCCGCGCTGAGCCCCATTTTCCTTTCTTTCAGTGGGGTCCCATGGAGGAGCTGTCGGCGTTGGCGCTGCCGGGCCACCGCACCATGAACCCCTGTCCTCTCTACGACGCCAGGAGCGGCACCGTCTTCCTCTTCTGCATCTGCGTGGAGCAGGGAAAGACGGAGCGCTGCCAGATCTGGAGCGGCTGCAGCGCCGCCCGCCTCTGCTTCGCCACCAGCGCCGACGGCGGCCGCGGCTGGAGCGCGCTGCGGGACGTGACGGACGAGGCCATCGGCGCCGACCTGTCCCGCTGGGCCACCTTCGCCGTGGGGCCGGGCCACGGCGTGCAGCTGGCCTCGGGGCGGCTGGTGGTGCCGGCCTACACCTACTACGTGCACGGCTGTCTGTGCGGGGCGCTGCGGCTGCCCTGCTTCACCCGCCAGCACTCCCTCGTCTTCTACAGCGACGACGGCGGGCGCCGCTGGCACAAGGGCGCCCTGCCCAGCGGCCGGCGCCGTGCGCGGCCCTGGGCGAGCCGCCGCGGGGCTGCCAGGGCAGCGTGCTCAGCTTCGCCCGCTCCGCCGGGGAGCCCCCCTGGCTGCTCTACTCGCACCCCACCGACCGGCACCGCCGGCGCGATCTGGGGCTCTACGTGAACCCCTCGCCGCCGGACGGGGCGGGCTGGCGGCGGCCCTGGCTGCTGCACGCTGGGCCCGCCGGCTACTCCGACCTGGCCGCCTGCCCCGGCGGCCTCTTCGGGTGCTTGTTCGAGCGCGGCGCCAGCAGCGCCTGCGAGGAAATCGCCTTCTGCCTCTTCACCCTGGAGCCCTCCGGCGATCGGGAGCTCAAGGCTTCCTGAAACAGACCCGTTTTAGGCAGCGCGGTCGCTCCTGAGCGTCGGCGGCCGGAGCCAGCGAGCGCGGCAGTGCCGGGACCTCGCCAGGACATTGCAAGTGCACCAGAGGCTCAGCATCGTGCACCTTTTATTTAATTATGCCTTTTTAATCACCCGTCGGGTGTTGTCGGTGACCTGCGGCAGTGGAGTCTCTGCTCTGGCTTGGCCAAGGGGGATGCCAGCACAGCATACAAAATGCTGCTGCTTCTCCAAAAATCAGCATTTTTCACCTGGTGGCAGCTGAAAAGCAGAAGGTGCCAGCAAGAGCAGCTGACTCCCTGAGGAAAAAGTACCCAGAACTCTTGGTTTAGTTAAAAATATTCCAGTTCCTGTGTTCCTGCAGGTGGCAGAAGATTCCCAGGTTTTACCATTTTTTATCCTGCTTTCTTCACTTGCCTACTTTAGACTGAGTTTCTCCCTGCCCCCTGGGGAAAAGCGCTCGAATCTTGACTGGGGGCAAGGAGAGAGGAGTGTTGGGGAGTGTTGCATTCTGCTCCATAGGGAACAGCTTCTAGCATCCCGACAGTGACAGTGACCTCACATCCCCGTGCTGCTGTCAAATAAAATTCTCCCAAAACACGTGGAATCCAGTCCATACAGGGAAAATCCCAACAGAGCTGGCCCTGCCCCAGAAAGATGCAGGATGGCCCCAAGCGCGGCACCTCCCACTGCATCCTGGTGCTGGTTTTGTATGGAGAGGCGGGCAGACAGGATGAATGCAAGGCGGGATGGGCAGAAGATCAAATCGAAACGGGCACAGGCAGGATGTGGACAGGGACGGGGAGGATGAGGCCAAGATGGAATGGGGACAGGCAGGATGGCGTCAGATAAGATTAGGACAGAAGACAAAATGGGGACAGACAGGAGCGGGCAGGCAGGATGAAGCTGAGGACAGAGCAGGATGGGGCCAGGAGAGAACAGGGACATGGGCAGGGACAGGCAGGATGAGGCTGGGGCAGGACGGGGACAGACAAGAGGGGGACAAGCAGGGTAGGGACAGAGGGGCAGACTGGAATGGGGACAGGGACAAGCAGGACGGGGAGCAGCACCACACCGCCCTGCCCAGCCAGCGTGGCGGGTCGGGGGCGCCCCCACCCGTTTTCCCCCCAAAGGCGGGGCCTCTCCGCCCCTTTTCCCCCGCTTCTCCCGGCGGCGGCGGCGGCGGCGGCCGGATGCGGGCGCTGGGGCTCGGGGCACGGCTGACACGGGGGGTGCTGGGGGCACTGGTGGGGCTGGCGGTGCTGGGGGCTCGGGGGGCGCTGCTGGGACCGGGGGCACGGGGTGCACTGGGCGTGTTGGGGATACTTGGAGCACCGGGGGCACTGCTGGGAGTCGGGGCGCTGGAGGCACTGGGGAGCCTGGGAGCGCTGCCGGTGCTGGTGGCGTTGCTGGGACTGGAGGCACTGTGGGTACCTGGAGCACCGCGAGCGCTGGGGGTTCGGGGAGTTCTGGAGGCGCTGGGTCACGGGAGGTGCTGGAGCACTGGGGGCGCTGGGAGCACTGGGGGTGCTGGGGGTGCTGCTGGCGCTGCTGCCGCCCCCCGCCCCGGCCGAGACGTTCTCTGCCATGCTGAGCGTGCGGGGAGCGCTGGGCGCCGAGCGCCGCCTGCTCCGCCGGCTCCGCTCCTACCTGCGGGACGAGAGCTCCCGCCTGCGCCTCCTCCGCAGGTACCGGCACCCCAACCGCCTCCGCTGCCCTCCGGCCGCCCATCCCGCCCCCCGGGCCCAGGCCTGGGTGATTCCCCGGCTGCGAGGAGGGGCCAGCCCATCCCCACCTTCCCCGCAGCACCCAATTTTTGGGAGTGGCCCTAAATAAGAGGGTGGTGGGAGGACGGGAATCTGACTGGACATGGATCAGGCCCCCCTTCCCCCAGCTGTGCCTCAGGAGGGGGACATGGCCCCCCACACATGGCCATGGGGGCTGCAGCATCCCAAGACACGGACCATCCTCACAGACCCACCAGGGTCTGGCTTGGCCAAAGTGGACGCTGAGGCAAAGCTGCCCAGCAGTGGGGGGACTCATGCCTCACCCGAGCGGTGTCAGCACCGAGGAGCACCCAAGTGTCCTCCCGTGGGTGCCTTGCAGGTTCTATGAGAAGGTCCAGGCACTGCACCAGGACCCCGAGGCCTCGGTGGACAACCCCTTGTTGGCCTTCAGCCTCATCAAGCGCCTGCACTCGGACTGGCCCAGCATCATCTACTGCGAGGAGGCCACCAGGAACACCCAGGGTACAGGGAGGATGCCCAGCCTCGTGTTCCCCCTGTCACCTACGCCAGGAAATAGATGGAGGGGCTGGGAAACAGGTGGAGAAGGAAGGGAATTGTTGGAGGAGCAGAATGAATGGAGGAGCAGGATGTGGGGTCTCCAGGGAAAAGAGCTGATAAGGGTGATTGCACCTCATAATTTCGTTTATCCTCTCCTGCACATCTTTCCCACCCTGCAGCACTCCATGCTGGCCTCAGGGAGGTGGAGCAGGAGCTGCCTGGAGCTGAGGACCTGGACGGGGCAGCCAGGGCGCTGATGAGGCTGCAGGACGTGTATGCCCTGAGCGTCAAGGGCTTGGCCAGCGGCGTCTTCCAGAGAGCCGGGCACCCGCCCCTCTACAGCCCCGGCCGGCGCGCCTCCCTCTCTGCCGACGACTGCTTCCACGTGGGAAAGGTGGGGGAGAGCCCCACAAGCCCCCACAAAGCTTCCCCAGCCTGGGGTGCTGCTTCCATAGGGATGGACACGGGGGTTTTTCACATGGGGTGAGATGGAAGCGCAGGTGCAAACAGGGATGGAGATTGAGGTGGGGATGGAACAAGAAAGGAGGGGATGGGACAGGATGGGGATGGTGTGGGAGGGAATGGGGATGGAGATGGCAATGGAAAGAGACAGATGCACTGGGATGGGATGGGATGGGATGGGATGGGATGGGATGCGATGGGATGCGATGGGATGCGATGCAATGGGATGTGATGCGATGCGATGCGATGCGATGCCATGCCATGGGAGCAGATGGCCCAGCTGCAGGTGCAGGTGACGTGTTGCCCCGCAGGTGGCCTATGACACAGGTGACTATTACCATGCCATTGCCTGGCTGGAGGAGGCTGTCAGCCTCTTCCGCCTCTCCTACGGCAGCTGGAACCTGGAGGACCGGAGCAGCCTGGAGGATGCTCTGGACCATCTGGCCTTCTCCTACTTCATGGTACAGCCACAAGTCCCCTCCCCATCCTCAGTGTCCAGTAGAGCCAAACCATGGGCAGGGGGGTGGATGCTGATGGGGTCTCCACTCCCCCATCCAGGCTGGAAACATCTCTCACGCCTTGAGCCTCTCCAGGGAGTTTCTCCGCTACGGTATGTGGGACAACTGTGGATGCAGCAGGAAGAGGGAAAAGATTTTGGGATGTCCCCATCACCTCTGCATGGCAACAGCCTCCCTCACCCCGTTTCTTGCCCCCATCTGGGGTAATTCTCCAGGGACCGATGCCAGGGAAGGGGGTTGATGGGGATGCAGCACTCTGGGTGACACCACCTCCCCAGCAGATCCCAGAAACCAAAGGGTGTCGAGGAACGTGGCCAAGTACAAGAAGCTGCTGGAGATGGGGATGGGGACAAGTGCCAGGCCCCTGCAGCGCCCCAACAGCACCCGCCTGCAGAGCCGTGACGCCTACGAGGAGCTGTGCCAGCGCCCCAGGGTGCAGGTGGGGCTGGCAGGGGTGCCGGGGTCCCCCAGCACCGCTGTCCCCCCCTCACGCCCTCCTTGGTCCTCTTCCTCCCCAGCCAGCCCCAGAGCAGCTCCTGCGCCTCGGCTGCTCCTACGAGACCAACGGCAGCCCCTTCCTCCTCCTCCAGCCGGCCAAGAAGGAGATGGTCCGGATCCGACCCCACGTGGCTCTGTACCACGATTTCATCACCGATGCTGAGGCTGAGACTATCAAGGGGTTGGCAGGGCCCTGGGTGAGCCATACCCGTCCCCAGGGATGTCCCTTTCCTGCACAGGGTGTCCCAGGAGGTCATGATCCAGGGTGAATGCAGAGATAGGAGGGGTTTTAAGGCTAAAGTCTCCTCCAGGGAGTTCAGATGGGATGGGGCTTGGAGCAACCTTGTCTAATGGAATGTGTCCCTGCCTATGGCAGGGGGTGGAACTGGATGATCTTGGAAGGCCCCTTCCAACCCAAACCACTCTAGGATTAGATGAGACCCTGGGGATGATGACCCCAGTTCCATGTGAGCCCCCCAAAAGACTTTTTGGAAGAAACCAAGTCCACAGCTGCACCTGAACCACTTCCCAACCAGGCCTGACTTGGCGACTGCACCTCTGTCACTGCTTCCCTCTCCCCTGTGAGACACCTCGGGGTGGGATGCTTAGCAATCAGCTGGTACAAACCCACCAGGGCCCCTGCTTGGCGTGAAGGTCCCCATGCGTGGCAACATGCGTCCCCCATGTGTCCCTCAGCTGCAGAGATCCGTGGTTGCCTCTGGGGAGAAGCAGCAGAAGGCCGAGTACCGCATAAGCAAGAGGTAGCGGCCCCCCTCCCTCGTCCCCCAGCCACAGGGACCCCCGTGGCTCCGTGGCCCCCTCTGAGGTGGCAGCGAGGCCGTGCTGGGGGGCTGGCTCCTGCAGCGGTGCCCTGCGGGTGAAGCCCGGCCGCCCGTGGGGCTGACGGGCGCTCCCACAGCGCCTGGCTGAAGGACACGGCCGACCCCGTGGTGCGGGCGCTGGATCGGCGCATGGCCGCCCTCACCGGCCTGGACCTGCGGCCGCCCTACGCCGAGTACCTGCAGGTGGTCAACTACGGCTTGGGAGGCCACTACGAGCCACACTTCGACCACGCCACGGTCAGGGAGCTGCCAGGCTGGGCCTGGGGGACCATGGGGTGACACCCAGGGTGGCTCCTGGGGGGGACTCAGGGGCGGTGCCTGGGATATTCCTGGGTATGGGCCCGGGGTTGGCCTTGGGGGTGGTTCCTCAGATGTTCCTGAAGGAGAACTACTCTGAGGGTGGTCCCTCAGCTGTTCCTGGAGATGGGATGCTCCTCATGATGCTTCCCATGGTGCCCAAGGGAAGACCCCGAACGGTCCCTAGGGGTGTCCCCGTGGTGATCCCTAAGTTATTCCCTGAGTTGTTCCTAGTGATGCACCCTGGGATGGCCCCTGGCAGGGGTGGGATGATGGTCCCAGGATGGTGATCCCTGGGTGGGTGCCTGGGGTATTCCTGGGAAAGGAGGGAAGGAGGGAGCAAAAAAGAAGGGAGAAGGAAGGATTTACTAGGGGGGAACAGTGTGGGGCAGCTTAGAGCTGCTGGGGTGTGAGGGGCTCTGGGCTGTGTCAGGGCAGGACTGACCGTCCCCACCTCCCTTTTGGAGCAGTCCACGAAGAGCCCCCTGTACAGGATGAAGTCGGGCAACAGGATCGCCACAGTCATGATCTACGTGAGTCCTCCCTCGTTTCCAGGCCTGCAGGGATGACACTGGCTTAGCCCTCAGGGAATGGGACGGGTGAGGGCAGCCCCAAAACACTGGAGTGCGTGGGAAGTGCCAACATCTGTGGAGTATTCAGGAGTTTGTGCTGTGCCAAAGCGAGGGAACAGAGTTGGGGCCCAAGGGAGGTTTTGTGCCTCAGTTTCCCTGTGCAAAGGAGCATCACAGGGAAGGGGGGGATCCATGGCTCCTATTTTTGCTCCTTTTCCAGCTGAGTGCCGTGGAGGCTGGAGGCTCCACTGCTTTCATCTATGCCAACTTCAGCGTGCCCGTGGTCAAGGTGAGGGATCGTGTGGAATTGCTGGGAGCAGGGAAGGGACGGTGCTGCCCTCTCTCTCAGCTCCTGCAGGGAGTTGTGGTCAAGCCTCTCCTGATGCCAAACCCCAGCCCTAGGCTCCCTAATCTGTTTTGGGGTGCCAAAATTCAGTCTTGGGGATCCCAGCTCTGTTTTAGGGTACCAAACCCATCTCTGCTCTGCAGAATGCAGCTCTTTTCTGGTGGAACCTGCGGAGGAACGGGAATGGTGACGGGGACACCCTCCATGCTGGCTGCCCCGTCCTGGCCGGGGACAAGTGGGGTGAGAGATGCTAGCAGGGGTCACCCCGTGGTGACACGGGGCTGGAGGGACAGCTCCACCAACAGGGAGGCAAGAGGGGCTGGGAATGCACAAATATCCTGGATAATGGGGAAAAGTTCCCCGGCAGCAGCACAGGATTAGAGAAAGGTGCCGAGGGAAGGGAGCAGACAGGGGTCCGTGTCCTTGTCCGTTCCAGTGGCCAACAAGTGGATCCACGAGCACGGGCAGGAGTTCCGGCGGCCGTGCAGCGCTGACCCACAGGACTGAGCCACGTGGGACCACAGATGTGACATCTGCAGGTGGCAAAGCCACCCGGCACAGCATCTCCCCAGGGAGGGAGAGATGGAGGGAAGGGGGCAGCAGCTGAGTAGGGGCTGATCGCGAGGGGTGCTTGCTCAACCACGGCCAGACTGGGTGGAAATAAAGTCTTTATTATAAACCCGAGTCTCTTCTGGGGTGCCAAAGCCTATCCCTGGGGCTCCCATCCATTAGGGAATGCCAAAATCCAGTCTCGGGGAGAAGGCAGCTCCTTCCAGCCGTGCTGGCCCCCCGCCTGCCTGCAGACAAGCTCCCTTTCTCCCCGCCGACCGCAGCCCCGACGTGACTGGAGGCCGAGAGCGGGGAGCCGGGACCTGCGCGGTCCTCGCTCCGTGCCCAGATGCCGGCTGCAGTCTCCTGTTCCCGCTCCTCGCTCCGTGCCCAGATGCCTGCTGCAGTCTCCAGTTCCCGGCCTCGCTCCGTGCCCAGATGCCTGCTGCAGTCTCCTGTTCCCGTTCCTCACTCCATGCCCAGAGGCCTGCTGTAGCCTCCTGTTCCCGTTCCTCGCTCCATGCCCGGATGCCAGCTGCAGTCTCCTGTTCCCGTTCCTCGCTCCATGCCCGGATGCCGGCTGCAGCCCCGGGGAGCTCGGCGCTCTCGCGGCCTGTCCCGAAGGCTCCGTGCCCGCGGCTCCGCGGGGCCGAGCGGACCGGGCTCCCTCAGCCCGCTTAGCTAGCCTGGGCTTTGTTAGCCTAGGCAACACGGTTGGGTTCGGGTTTTTTGACCTTTTTCTGGCCTAGAAGACGGTGGGAGCAATCCTTCGGCCGTTTGTGGTTTTTTTTTCCCCCCGAGCTGTTCGGTTCGGTTTTGGCCCAAGATCACAGAGCCGGCGGGAGGAGCATCGGCCGGGACCCGGCGGCACGGGAGGGGCCGGCCCGGCCCGGCCCGGCCCCAGAGCTCGGCACAGCCGAGCCAACCGGAGGAAGGACACCAAATCCAGCGGCTTCGTCTGCAGTGACGAGGGGACCCCGCCAGGAGTGCACAGGTTCCCTCTGTTTGCCCGAGCTGCTGCGTGCCCCCCTTGTGTTCCCCCTTCCCCGGGACAGGAGCCGCCGCCATTTTCTCCCCCCCACACACCACATTGCGGCCAGTGTGGGCTTTTTTCCCTTTCCTGGGATTTTGTTTCGTTTTGTTGGGGTTTTTTGTTTGTTTGTTTGGTTTGGTTCGTTTGTTTGGTTTGGTTCATTTCTTTTTGTTTTGTTTCATTTCGTTTCGTTCTGTTTCTATCCGGCGGGGATGCGTGTGGGGGGCAGTGGTGTTAAGGTCGGGCAGTTCAGTATCTAGCATTTAATCATTTTCTTTTTCCGTGCCGTGCGGGCACTCTGGGAATAAACGATTGGGGTTTTTTTCACTTCCATCCACTGCTGTTAACCTCCTATTGGAAGAAAGGGATTGCTGCAACCCTTGTTTGGAGGAAACACTCGTTCCAGAGTGTTTTTCTCCTAAGCTTGTCTCGGTTAATCTGAGACACTCATCTAGGTGGCATTTGGAGGAGATTCAGACCCTCCAGGATGGAAACCCAGCTCTCCAGGGAGATCACCATATCACCTCCTGGCCTCTTTCCCGGCTGGAAGGGAAAGGACAGGAACCGGGGAGGGGGATAGGAACAGAAGGCAGGGCTCTGCCGAGGCTCTCCTTGCCTTGGGGTCAGAAATGCGCGTTTATCGCTCCTTGGCTGTGTTCATCCAGCGGGGATTAACCCTTCCATAGGCACACAGCGACAGGGGTGAGCTGCAGGGAGCATTTGGGCAGGCCAGCAGGAACTCAGAAGAGGCTCCAGCAGCCCTTTGGGGCTGTTAAACCTGCTGGAATGTGAAACAGTCTGGAAGATTTCCAGTTTCTCCCAATTCCCGCTTTTCAGTCAGGAACAAGCGCTGCAGGACGCAGAGAAGGCTGAACAGAGCACAGGTTACTCACCAGCCCCAGTGCTCTGGTTTATTACTTCCAGATGTTTCTGTACATGTGAGAGTCATTGGTCACAGGAAGGAGGGGAAAAGTGAAAGCTGTGGCTAAATTCCCCCTCCTCCCCACACTGGGGTGCTGGGAAGGGATGGGGGAGCATTTTGGATGACAAGAGGCTTCCATGAGTCACCATAAAAACCCAGTGGTTGGGTCTGGTGCAGGAACAGCTGGATCAACCCCCTTCCTCCACAGGCTGCTCCAAGGAGCCCAAGCATCACAGCTAAAGGGAAAGCAGGAATTCCTACTCCAGGCTTTTCACAAATGCTTTATTTGTAGGCGAGGGAGATGGACACAGAACAAGACAAAACCAGGAAGAGGCTGACACGGGACACGGTGGCGTGTGGTCTCCAGAGAACTGACACCCCCCCAACACACACACCCCCCACACACACAAACACACTCATTTTCCTTCTGCAAACAGCAAAACTTGGAGCAAACAGCCAGTCCCATTCCCGCCTGTCGGATGCCACATGGGCACAGTGCTGAGGGGGCAGCATGGACAGACAGACGGACGGCACAACCACGGGATGCAGGTTTGGGCAACACAAAGGGCACTTCCAGCCTGTGAGCAGAGCGCCAGGCTCGGGGACGGGTGGGAGAATGCACGAGGGACAAGGGTTCTTGGAAGTGAAAAGCCATCAACTCAAGTTTTTGACCTTGCCTAAAGATCCAGGTGTGGATTTCCAAGAGTGTTATTACCAGCTCAAACCAGTGGACGGCTGGTTGCCAGGCACCTCCACACAGCCCTTCTCCCAAAACCTTCCTGCTCCCAAAAGAAATGGCAGTAGTGGAGAAGAGGAAAAATGTCAGTGCTAAAGTCACAGAATCAGAACAATTTGGGTAGGGACCAACCTTAAAGCCCATCCAGTGCCACCCTGCCCTGGGCAGGGACACCTTCCACTGTCCCAGGCTGCTCCCAGCCCCATCCAGCCTGGCCTTGGACATTCCAGGGATCCAGGGACAGCCTCTCTGGGCACTCTGTGCCAAGGCCTAAATTGTACAAAAACTTCTCCCTAGTACCCAGTCAGTCCTCCTGTGGGGGATTCTCCAAGGTCTGTGTTGCACTGCTCCAATTTTTTCAAGTCATCCCAATACTGCTTGCAAATCACAAACATGTGGGAAGCAGGGCTGGAATGGGCTTCCTCAGGTTGTCCAAGCCTTTCGCTGGCCAAAAGGGGAAAAATAACAACTTTTCCTATTGCTGCATCACCTCTGCAGACCCCCTGTCACAATCTGAGGGGAAAATTCCAGCTGCAGAGCCCCAGGCCTGAGTTTAATTCCTTACTCGAGGGCTGATTTATTCAAAGCAAGAGTACCTGCTTTGGCAATAGAGGAAATAATCTTTTTCCAACAATCCCAATGCTCCAGTCTTCTGCAAATCCCTATGGCTTTGTCCAGTACACATAATCTGGCAAAACCCATCCTAGGTCTCAGACATTTATTTATTTAATTTATTCAATTAAAATGAAGGCTGCAACAGACCAGCATCCCAAAGTGCATCTCCTGCTCCTGCCAAACCTTGGGATCCTCCATTGGGAAAGCTGCCACTGATCCTCAATCCAACAAGTGAAACAAAACCAAGAGAGGTTTCTAAGTAATCAAAAGGCTGCCGGAAAAATGCAGAGCTGGGAGTTTTGGGGAGGAATTTCTCTGTGTCCCCGTTTCTCGTGAGCCAGAGTGAAGACTCCTTCTCTCTGCAGTTACTTTTACCACAGCCTGTGTTCCCTTCACCAAATGTCATTTATCCCAGCCTGCAGCCCCCTGGAAACTGCAGCAGGAGCATTAATGCTTCTCAGACAAAAGTCCAGTCTCAAAAATGTACATGGCTTGACAGAGCCGAAAGGAATTTCCCTTCCACCCACCCCCACAGCGCTGCTGCTGTCCCTGGAATCCATTTTTTAATCAGTACCATGAATCCCTGAACAGCCACCTATGCAGGGCAGGGCTGGGAGCTGGCACGGAGCGACGCACCAGTCACTTCAATAGGCTCTTGAAATATTTATTTTCTTTTCACTCACTCAATGTTAACAGCAAAACAGAATCCCAGGCAGCCCACAGGATTTCAGAAATCTTTCCTTTTCCAGTGGTGCTTCTACAGAATACAAAACTGACAGGCTTTCCACAGAGGGTTCCGTTTGGTCGGGCTTTTTTACGAGCTCACAAATCAAAGGGATAACCGAGGAATCACTCCAAGTCAGACTCTCCAAGTTACTTCACCACGGAGGAATGTGACTTCACCACGATCATTCATGAGGATGATCCCGGGAAGTGAGACTGGATAGACACGCTGGATAAGTTCATCCCTAACAATCTGAACAAAGGAGTCTCCTGCAAAAGGGAATTTTGGCCATTGTGGGGACACGGCTGGGGAAAGAACTATTTTGCATCTTGGCTACTGAAGATCCATTGAATCCATCAGGAACTAGACCAGGGTGGACGCGACATCAAATTAATGCATTGACGCGGTGACTCACAGAGGGAAGCGCAGAGAGCCAGCAATTGCTCTTGTCACACCTGAGTGCCAAAGTGCCAGGAGGGCATTCCTGTCTGCAATGAGGCTTTCCTGCCTCTAATCCAGGCGCTTCCCAACCTGATGTGTCAGGGAAGGGACAAGGGAGCAAGGCCACCACGGCTGCTGTGCCTGCTGAATCACAGCTCAGTGGAGCTCCACCGGGCCCAAGGCCACGGTTAAACCCTTTGTCCCACCTGCACCTCTCAAGTGCCAAGAATTCCTGGTGGCTCTTGTCATGGGATGCACACCTCAGCAGCTCCCAAATCACCACAGAACTTTGCCTCGGCAGAGCAGGGTTAAAATCATCGGACAGCAGCAAGGGGTTATGGACACCAGGCAAAAAAAGGGATTTCACACATCCACCAGCAAAATATTGAGGAAAACTGCTCCAAAACATGTCTGCTCTTACACTCAAAAGTGACTCTTGGGTGAAAGCAAGCCCAGGAACTGTCTGTGGATAACTGAACCCTGAAGAAAAGCTCTCTGTGCACATGGAATTCTGGAAGTCAGGCAGCAAAATGATCTAGGAAGCAACAGTGGGAACAAGGTCCTTCCTCTAATACTGGGGAGAAAAGCTGCCTACACC